ACTCTTTCGAGCTTTCATGTCAGCTATACCTTTACTAGCCTTCTCTTGTGTATACCTAAAGCAATAAAGCAATATACAAATTTTATTGTCATACATATATGTCAGTCGCATCTCAACTTCCCTCTAAAATTTTGAGCTTTTAAGGTGAAAAGTTAAACCCGCATAAAAAACAACTTATAAGATTCAGCATCAGAGTTGCTCTTTAAGAAATGCAAAACTCACAAAGTAGTAATCAGCACTATTTTTTAGAAACACCATTTCGCTCTATCTAAGGATTGCTTCAATTTATGAGCTTAGCTTTTAAATCCATCTCATACTTTTCGCCCCTTTCCCCTCCCTCCTTCCTAAAAATCTACTAAATGTTCCTTACTGCTTGAGCAGAGACGAATGACATCATCTCGATGAAGTATTATGGACGGAAAAAGATATTGAAGAATAGAAGAACTTTTTCTCATTCATTCATTCGTCATATGACTTACCATCCATAAGCCATTGACAAATGTAATTGCACCTATACAATCGGCATAGGGATACTGGAGAATATGGCTTTGATATGGTGCTTAAAAAGCTCACCAACGACTTCCCTATTGTGGTATTACTCCTTCTCTTCATAAAAAAATCCTCCATCTTCATCCCCCCCCCCAAAAAAAAAACATCTTTTCCACCGAAACAGTAGCATTGTACTTAATCTTCTATGTAACATATGTCCAATTCTAAATTTCAAAGCATCCATGTGAAATGAAGTATTAGTGTATTCTCACAACATACATTAAATTCGTCGCTTAATATTTCATAGGGTTACAAGATGGAACATTGACATAACTTATAATGCTACGACATCGCTCCAGTGAGCTGATAGCGATTTTGTAAGTTTCAAAATTCAAAGTAGTAAAAGTCGCGTCTCTCCCTCCTCAAAAATTGGATCTCAAAATTTGGAAATTTGAGAAATAAGTTTAAATGACAAAATGGCCTGCTTCAATTACTTAAAAATTGCAAATTATTAAAAACTCAGTGTTTTAAAAAAAAGTTGAATCCAAACGACCAAAAAAGGGCTATCCCCCGCACAAGCCATCTGCTTGCTGTCAAAGCGTATTTGACAATTGTTGAAGATTTGTTATCAGATAAGTGCGTATGTCTGAAAGGGCAAAGGGTCTCTTTGACTTATTGATGTTTTCTAACAATTCCAATTCTTCGCAGCCAAACCTTGGCAGTTTTTTAAAGGAAATTTTTTTGCGCATGCTATAAACAGGAAATACTTACGTTATTTTGAGTTTCACACCTCTTTCTGGAGAAAAGTGGAAAAATCCAACCTGAAGCGCCAAACTAGCATAATCCGATAACGTTGATGTTCCCATGGTAGAAACACTAAGATACGCATTTAGGTGGAAAAATTGACCCTTCACCACATGGTGCAGTCTAACAACACCCACTCCACTACAGCTCAGAATTC